TTGGATCTTTTAATGGGAGATCTTGTGGATTCTCCTGTTTTGGGTACATCATCCTTTGTGATCTTGGAGGAATGGATTCAAATTACAAGAAATTACAAGATTCTGGTTAAACATTAAGAAGAACTTCCTGGTGGTAAATACTGTTGGACAATAGTGGAATGAAGGTGATGGACTCTCTTTCGTTGGCAGTTTTGAAAACAAAGGTTGGATGGCTGCCTCTCAAAGATACTAGAGCTGTGGATTCCTGCACAGGCAGCGGGTTGGAATAGATGACCCCTGGGGTCCCTTCCAACTCTTTAATTTAATTTTTCTTATCTTTGATTTCCTTTGTCTGGATTGTCAGGAGCTGCAACTGTACAGTTCCTTTGGATATAATTCTATGAGCAGATTTCCATTTTTGTGTTTGGGTTTAGAGCAAGAAAATTTTGGAATCTGGAGCTGGATCAGACCATTCAGAGTTTGGCAAAGTTCTTTTTTAAAAAATTAAATTCTTCAAATCCCCTATGCTGGCTGGAGGATTCTGGATGTTTATTAATAATTTTAAAAAGAACTTTTCCAAACCTTGTTTTTACTAATGACGTATTTTCCAAGGTCTCACGCAAACACAAAGATGTCTTCCCCATTTCTTTTTCTATTATAGGGAAGCTGGGATTTGAACCCAGGACTCTGTGCATGCAAAACTCATATTGTCCCATCGAGCTCAGATTTTTCTCTTCCATGAATGCGTGCCTTGGCTCATTTACACGAGTAACATATTGCTGTTCACTCTTCAGGGCCTTGTCTCTTTGCTCCAAAGGTGGATCCATGAGTTTGATTTAGTTGATTTAGATATTTGTATCTCCACATTTGCCACGGTTAGGGGTGCAGAACCCCCATGAAAGTGGGAAAACCACAAATTGAAAGACACTACTTTTTTTACCTGAGAGGACACCTCTCTAGGAATCTCTAGGTCTTCCAGTGCAACTCTGTGGTCAACATCTGCCATTGACCATAGAATTGCTCTGGAGGACCTACAAATGCCTAGAGAAGTGTCCTCTCTAAGAATCTCTAGGTCCTCCAGCGCAACATTGCTCTGCAGAGGGGCGGGATATTATCATTATTATTATTATTATTATTATTATTATTATTATTATTATTATTATTATTAACATCTGGCAGACATTGACCATAGAGTCTTGCTGGAGGACCTAGATATTCCTAGAGAGAACATATTAATTAATCAAAGACGTGAATAATCACACCTGCAAAAGTCAAAGCCACAAATGTGGAGGGATTACTCAATATTACCTGATGGCTTCTGCACCAGGTATGACATTGAATCCGCTCTGGGTTGTAGTCCAAACTTTAAAGAAGGTACCTGAGATGTCACAAAAGGTTCCACACTTTGGATTCCTCCTATAAATTCGCCAGGCTCTATCCTCAGAATAAGTTCAGCACTTTGAACAGTTGTGTTAAAGTTCTAGGACTCTGGAGACCAGGGTTCGATTCCCAGCTCAGCCATGGAAACCCATTGGGTGACCCTGAGCAAGTCACACTCTCTCAGCCTCGGAGGATAGGAACGGCAAACCACCTCTGAACAAATCATGCCAAGAAAACCTATATAAGTGTGCCTTAGGATCATCACAAGTCAGAACCAACTTGAAGACACACAAGAACTAGGCCTTTAGGAGACCACGGTTTAAATCCCGACTCAGCCATGGAAACCCACTGAGTGAGCTTAAGCAAGTCACACTCTCTCATCCTCAGAGGATGGCAATGGCAACCCCCCTCTGAACAAATCGTGCCACGAAAACCCTGTGATAAGTTCGCCGTAGGGTTGCCATTAGTCGGGAATGACTCGAAGGCACACAACACACATGCAACCATTCAGCAAATGTTGGCGTTCTGGAATCTCTCTCCTCCATCTCCAATATAACGTTATTCAGAGGACTGAATAATCATAAATACTCAGTTATTAAGTCTGAGTTAGCGATGATCATTAGCGTGGGTGTTTTAATAGGCGGCAGCTTGGCTACGCTCACCTTTGACTGTCTGTGACACAAGAGCTGTGTGTTCATTTCCTAAACCAAGGCGTCCCACACCTGGAATATCTGGGTGGAGGGTATCTCAATATGCAAAGTGCTTTGGGACGGTGCTCAGCCTTCAAATAACCTGGCCACCTTTGTGCCCATATAGCAGACAGGTGAGGTGAGTCACGGAGAAACGGCTTGTCTAGAGCCGTGTCACTTCTCTGAGCCTCAGCTCTCACATCTATAAAATGGGCACAAAAGGAGCAAGGTTATTTGAAGGTCGAGGACAACCCTAACATTATTACCCTTTGCATAGTAATAAGCCCTGGAAGCAAAGACATGCTACTAGAGGTGTGGCACACTTTGATTTAGGTGTTGGAGGAACACATTTAACAGGTTTTTAGGAGAGAGGCAAAACTCGAACCCAGGTCTCAGAGGTCCAAATTCACACACCGGAG